ACAGTACTTGGGATCATGGCAAAGACCTGTTGCCTACATGTCTAAGCAACTGGATGCAGTGGCCAGCGGACTTCCACCTTGTCTAAGAGCTGTAGCTGCAGCCGCCCTGCTAGTAGCTGAAGCCGATAAACTCACTCTTGGTCAAAAACTTTATGTACGAGTTCCACATGCAGTACAGACGTTGTTGGATTACAAAGGAAATCATTGGTTTAGTAACAGCCGTATGACCAAGTATCAAGCAATGTTGTGTGAAAACCCAAGAGTGCATTTAGAGACCGTAAATACCTTAAATCCAGCTACCCTTTTGCCACAACCTACTGAAAGTCACATGATTGTTTGGAAGTAATGGATGAAGTATTTTCAAGTAGACCAGATCTTCGTGATTTTCCCATCCAGAACCCTGATGTTCAATATTACACCGACGGCAGTAGTTATGTAAAGAAGGGATCCGCTATGCAGGATATGCAGTAACAACGATAGACAAGGTGATAGAAGCTCGGCCACTGGCAAAAGGAACATCAGCACAAAAGGCAGAATTGATAGCACTGACACGAGCGTTACAATTGGTTGAAGGTTTAAGAGTGAACATCTACACGGACTCCAAGTATGCGTTTTTAACCACTCATGCCCACGGAGCTTTGTATAAAGAAAGAGGACTATTGAATTCAGAAGGCAAAGAAATCAAATACGCAGCTGAGATCCTACAACTATTGGAAGCAGTGTGGGAGCCGAAGAAGTCGGTATTATACATTGTCGGGCGCATCTGAGAGGAGATGGTGATGTAACCAAAGGGAATCGGATGGCAGATAGTGCATCTAAGCGTGCTGCTGAATCAGGAAGACAGGAATATGTGGGGCATATAGCTGCTCTTATACCAACTCCACTGTCTCAATGGACTCCAATTTATACAGCTCAAGAAGAGGAGTGGTTAAGGACCGAACCTGGAAAGTATTTGGAGAACAAATGGTATCAGTTAGAAGATGGAAGAATAGTTATTCCAGCATCACTAGCGGTAGAAATTGTCCAAAACTATCATAACGGGACACATTCTGGGGGAGACAGTACAGAAGAATCTCTCAGAAAACATTTCTACATACCAAGATTGTCCAACTTGACTCAGGCCATTGTACGTAGATGTGTAACGTGTGCTAAAAATAATGCAAGACAAGGACCAGTAAAGCCACCAGGAGTCCAGCTTATGGGGGGACTTCCCATGTCCGATTTACAAATTGACTATACAGTGATGCCTAAATCGGGTGGACATCGCTACCTGCTGGTAGTGGTGTGCACCTATTCAGGCTGGGTAGAAGCATGTCCTACTCGTACAGAGAAAGCAGGAGAAGTCGTGAGATTCCTGCTACGAGAAATAATACCTCGATATGGACTACCCTGCTCTATAGGATCGGACAATGGTCCAGCTTTTGTTCATCAGTGCCTACAACAATTGACTCATATGCTTGGTATAAAGTGGAGGCTTCATACGGCATATAGACCCCAGAGTTCTTGTAAGGTAGAGAGAATGAATAGAACTATTAAGAATCAGTTGGCTAAAATGTGTCAGGAAACCCAACTTAAGTGGAACGTTCTCTTGCCCATAGCTCTATTGCGAATCCGTAGTACACCTACCAGAAGGATGGGCCTCTCTCCTTTTGAAATCATGTACGGGCGACCACCTCCCGTGCTTGGTAACTTAAGGGGGGATTTGAGTCAGTTGGGAGAAGGAATTACCCGGCAACAGGTTGTAGAGTTGGGTAAGACTATGGAGGAGGTACAGAAATGGGTACAAGATAGATTACCTGTGAATATTTATCCCCCAATTCATAGTTACCACCCAGGCTACCAAGTGTGGATTAAAGAGTGGAATAATGTGCCGTTAGGGCCCAAGTGGAGAGGTCCTTATGTTGTTCTTCTGTCTACCCCTACAGCGATAAAAGTAGCCGAAGTGGCTCCGTGGATACATCACTCCAGGGTTAAACCAGCAGCAGCCGATTCCCGGCAAGTTACAGCAAATCCAGAGAATCCCTGCAAGATCCGGTTAAAACGCACGACTCAGTCGGAGTGACGAGGAACCTTGTAGATTACAAATTTTATTGTTTCAGAGACTTGGTAAGTGAGTGAGAAGGCCATAATAAAGCCTGTCCACTCACCAACGAGTGTATAAGTCAGGGAAAGTCTTGAGGGGACCCCTGTGAAGACGAGCAGAACTCCATTCCCTGCAGTCCTTACATCCTGGAAGCTGAGGTGCCTTCACACGGACGAAGACTGAGGATGACGACGAAAGATGTATTTTTAATAATGTTTATTTATGTGTATTTTTATATTCAGGAAGGTAGAGGTACCAACACTCCTAGCTGTGAGGTATGCATTAAGACTACAAGAACAGGTAACCATATATCCCAGACCCTAATTTGGCATTCGCAATATGAGTGTAAAGGAGATGTATCAAGATGTAGATACTTAAATATAGAATATAGTGTGTGTCATTTAGGAGTAGGAGAACCTAAGTGCTTCAGTCCTGAGTATCAACCCCGTACAATTTGGTTGACTCTCAGAAATGGAGATTCTCAGGGGACCCTAATTAATAAGACGGTATTAAAATCCGTATATTCTTCAGGTGCTCTGCTATTTGATGCGTGTAAAGCAATATCAAGTGGTAGAAAGCCGTGGAATGTATGTGGGGATCTTAGATGGGAGAGGACGTATGGGTCTAACGATAAATATATTTGTCCCAGTAGTAAAAATAAATATGTAAGTCCAAGATGCCCAAATAGAGATTATAACTTCTGCCCATATTGGTCTTGTGTGGGGTGGGCGACTTGGGGACAGACAGCAGACAAGGACATGATTGTGACCAAGTTGCCTACTAATCCATATTGTAAGTCTATGGAATGCAATCCAATCCATATACTTATAAATAACCCTGACAAGTTCTTAGATAAATATGGTAATTTATTTGGGTTTCAAATATATGGGACGGGTTTAGACCCTGGGACAATATTGTTTATAGGGATAGAGTCTGATACGGTAACCTCCCAAACTCATCAAGTATACCATTCCTTTTATGAAGAGATGAGCATAGATAATAAGATCCCCCATAATGCTAAAAACTTGTTCATTGATTTAGCCGAGAGTATTGCCGGTAGTCTTAATGTTACCAACTGCTATGTGTGTGGAGGTACTAACATGGGAGACCAATGGCCTTGGGAAGCAAAGGAGGTAATGTCCGGTTCTGAGGCAGTTGACCAATTAATATCTACACAAGCCGACTATCATATGAGTGTTAGAGGTAAATCTGAGTGGAGATTGAAGACCTCCATCATAGGTTATGTTTGCATAGCGAGGAAAGGAATGATGTATAATACTTCTGTAGGAGAATTAACTTGTCTAGGGCAAAAAGCTTATGATGATGATACAAAGAATACAACTTGGTGGTCGGCTTCAAATGTCTCAGAACCATCTAACCCGTTTGCAAGATATGCCAATTTAAAGGACGTATGGTTTGATCTATCCATCACATCTAACTGGAGAGCCCCAGCGAATTTGTACTGGATCTGTGGTAAGAAGGCCTATTCGGAGTTACCACAGGACTGGGAAGGGGCATGTGTGTTGGGTATGTTAAAACCATCCTTCTTCTTGTTGCCTATTGAAACAGGTGAGACTTTAGGTGTTAAAGTGTATGATGTGAATCATAGGAAGAAAAGGGGACCCATAGAGATAGGTGCCTGGGAAGATAATGAATGGCCTCCCCAGCGTATTATAGATTATTATGGGCCAGCCACGTGGGCAGAGGATGGTACCTTTGGTTATAGAACCCCTATTTATATGCTCAACCGCATTATAAGGTTACAGGCGGTGGTTGAGATCATTACTAACGAGACATCACAAGCGCTCAATCTTCTAGCGAAGCATAATACCAGGATGAGGACAGCAGTTTACCAAAATAGATTAGCCTTGGATTATCTTTTGGCAGTAGAGGGAGGTGTATGTGGGAAGTTTAACCTGAGCAATTGCTGTCTTCAAATAGATGACGAAGGGCAAGCAATAGCTGAGCTTACTAGCCATATGGTTAAACTAGCGCATGTGCCTACTCAGGTATGGAAAGGGTACAATCCAAGTAGTTGGTTTGGTAGCTGGTATGAGTGGTTTGGAGGGCTTAAGGCAGTGGTAGGTGGAGTCCTACTGATTTTAATGTTGTGTCTACTCCTGCCGTGTCTTATACCCTTAGTAGTTAGGTCTGTGCAAAGCCTGATAGAAAATATAGCAGAGAGGAAGGCTGCTGCACAGATAATGGCAATTTATAAATATAAGGCTCTAGATCAGGGAGAACCAATGCAGGAAGACGAGTGTTGAAGATTCACATCATAGGATAAGTCTGGTCTGGTTCAAAGGTAACTTGTGGTGTATGCAAACCAAGGTTAAGTGATGCCTCAAGTAATTGTAAAATATCAAGAGGCATCAAAGGGGGGAATGTGGTGGAATCTCGGTAAAAATAAATTTAGTAGGCCGAGATTACCACGTGGCATGTGTACGTGCATATGCTGACGTATCGATCAGTTGGTTGCACGAGGCAAGATACGATCAGTAGTGTACGGAGCATGTGCAAGAATACAGGATGTAGTATTCCCCTCCTCCATTGTGCTGGACAAGCCATGCGGTCAAGCAGGAAGTTAATTCTTATTTGTAATGATTGGTCAAGAGAATGTGCGGGTGGAGTTTAATATGGGAGGAGTTATGTGCCTATATAGGGAGCCTGCACTATTGTTCAGGGCTCAGAACTTGATGTATTTTTGGTGACATTAGTCCCTCTGAGTCCCGATCGGTGATCCAATAAAGAATCTCTTCCTTCCTGAAGAAACCTGTGTCCATCCCTCTGTGCTTTGCTTCCGTCAGTTTCTCCGGTATCACTATACCTGCCAATAGTCCAAGATATAGTAGGACAGTCACGGTTTTAGACTGCTGTCCTATCAACCCAAGTTTGTTACCTGCAGTATTCAGCCAATGGGCAATGAGCTGCAGAAGTGCTCTACTCTTGGGCAGTCATTAGCTGTTTCTTTTGGGGGGGCATTCCCTTTGGGTGATGGTAGGTGATAAGAGCCATGCCACTGCACCTTTTAAGTCTGCCCAACCCTCAGCAATCTTGGAAGGTGCGTAATGCTAAATTAAGGCATCATACTGAAGTACAAAGAAACACAGTGTGATCGGGGCCCTCTCTTGATTTTTCAACACCAAATCGGTTAACAGCATGTATTACAGAGTGAATCCTGCTGAAATATAGAAATATTTTGGCCAGATAACAAAACCTTTTCGAATACTTACTGTTTGCATTCAGCCTATCGAAATATAGTTTTAACATCTTAAACAACTTTCTCATATTGGTCCCTATTGACACTTCTAGATGGCGGTACCTCCGCCCAGTGTCTAGAATTGTCAGGTGTAGGAAATATACAGAGACAAAGTAGTCCCTACTTTATCCCAGTATACAGGGAGTGCAGAATTATTAGGCAAATTAGTATTTTGACCACATCATCCTCTTTATGCATGTTGTCTTACTCCAAGCTGTATAGGCTCGAAAGCCTACTACCAATTAAGCATATTAGGTGATGTGCATCTCTGTAATGAGAAGGGGTGTGGTCTAATGACATCAACACCCTATATCAGGTGTGCATAATTATTAGGCAACTTCCTTTCCTTTGGCAAAATGGGTCAAAAGAAGGACTTGACAGGCTCAGAAAAGTCAAAAATAGTGAGATATCTTGCAGAGGGATGCAGCACTCTTAAAATTGCAAAGCTTCTGAAGCGTGATCATCGAACAATCAAGCGTTTCATTCAAAATAGTCAACAGGGTCGCAAGAAGCGTGTGGAAAAACCAAGGCGCAAAATAACTGCCCATGAACTGAGAAAAGTCAAGCGTGCAGCTGCCACGATGCCACTTGCCACCAGTTTGGCCATATTTCAGAGCTGCAACATCACTGGAGTGCCCAAAAGCACAAGGTGTGCAATACTCAGAGACATGGCCAAGGTAAGAAAGGCTGAAAGACGACCACCACTGAACAAGACACACAAGCTGAAACGTCAAGACTGGGCCAAGAAATATCTCAAGACTGATTTTTCTAAGGTTTTATGGACTGATGAAATGAGAGTGAGTCTTGATGGGCCAGATGGATGGGCCCGTGGCTGGATTGGTAAAGGGCAGAGAGCTCCAGTCCGACTCAGACGCCAGCAAGGTGGAGGTGGAGTACTGGTTTGGGCTGGTATCATCAAAGATGAGCTTGTGGGGCCTTTTCGGGTTGAGGATGGAGTCAAGCTCAACTCCCAGTCCTACTGCCAGTTCCTGGAAGACACCTTCTTCAAGCAGTGGTACAGGAAGAAGTCTGCATCCTTCAAGAAAAACATGATTTTCATGCAGAACAATGCTCCATCACACGCGTCCAAGTACTCCACAGCGTGGCTGGCAAGAAAGGGTATAAAAGAAGGAAATCTAATGACATGGCCTCCTTGTTCACCTGATCTGAACCCCATTGAGAACCTGTGGTCCATCATCAAATGTGAGATTTACAAGGAGGGAAAACAGTACACCTCTCTGAACAGTGTCTGGGAGGCTGTGGTTGCTGCTGCACGCAATGTTGATGGTGAACAGATCAAAACACTGACAGAATCCATGGATGGCAGGCTTTTGAGTGTCCTTGCAAAGAAAGGTGGCTATATTGGTCACTGATTTGTTTTTGTTTTGTTTTTGAATGTCAGAAATGTATATTTGTGAATGTTGAGATGCTATATTGGTTTCACTGGTAATAATAAATAATTGAAATGGGTATATATTTGTTTTTTGTTAAGTTGCCTAATAATTATGCACAGTAATAGTCACCTGCACACACAGATATCCCCCTAACATAGCTAAAACTAAAAACAAACTAAAAACTACTTCCAAAAATATTCAGCTTTGATATTAATGAGTTTTTTGGGTTCATTGAGAACATGGTTGTTGTTCAATAATAAAATTAATCCTCAAAAATACAACTTGCCTAATAATTCTGCACTCCCTGTATCTCTTGACTGGTTTGTAATTTCAGTGAAATTCAGTGTAATTTCAGTCGGGGGGGGGGGGAGGACAGTGCCGCTTTATGTATTTTAGATACGCTTGATAACTCTTGACAAAGGAAGTGTAGCTTGCAAATGCCTTAAGGTCCACCCTTTGTCAAGATTATCAAGCATAGCAAAAATATGTTTTAAAGAGAAATAGATCCGAAATAAACAAAATAATAGATTCTGAAAGAGAAAAAGAAATGATAGGAAAATGGTAAATTTGAGGTCACAATCTGTCAGGGTACCTTGTGTGCTACATCCTGGTGACGTACCGATGTACCTCTTCTCTCTCCAGCGATTCTCACGCCGTCCATGATAGCACTGCCCATTTTTATGACGTGGTGCGTGCGCACCGATGTTGGTCACGTCACAAGTTCAACCGTTTGGGGGGGCGTGGCTACAGGGCCGGTGCAAAGATTTTTAGCTACACAGGCAAAGTAGCATTTCGCTGCCTCCCCAAACCCAGAGGGAGGGACACAGGGGCTTTAGAGAGGGGAGGGACACAGGGGCTTTAGAGGGGGGAGGGACACGGGGGATTTAAAGGGGGGAGGGACGCAGGGGCTGTAGAGGGGGGAGGGGCACAGGGGCTGAAGAGGAGGGGTGACACGGGCTGAGAGAGGGCAAGGGCTGTAAAGAGGGGAACAGGGGCTATAGAAGTGGGGTAGGGGCATAAAAGGGGGGAGCATAGGCTGTAAAGTAGGGGGTATGGGCTGTAGAGTGGGGGCTATTGGCTGTGGTGGGGGACACGGGCAATAGAAGGGGTGGGTAGGGGCTGTAGAAGGGGTAGGCAAGGGCTGTAAAAGGGGCACAGGGGCTACAGAAGGGGTTGGTAGGGGCTGTAAAAGGGGGCACAGAGGCCATAGAAATGGGAACAGGGACAGTAGGGGGCTAAAGGAGGGGTGGGCAAGGGCTATAGAAAGGGGAACATGGGCTTGAGAGGGCACATAGGGCCTATAGAAGTGGTGGGCAGGGGCTAAGAAAACAAAAATCCCCCCACCCCTGAGTCTTACCTGAACCTGGAGCAGAAGCCTGCAGCCAGAGGAGTCGGCCGGCCTTTCCTGATGATGTCAGGAAGAGGGGGCGTGACTTCCACTGCTCTTCTCCCAGACTCCTCAGCGGATTGCTGGGGAGTCTGTAGAAGAGCAGTGGAAGTCACACCCCCTCCTCCTGACATCATCAGGAGAGGCCGGCCGAGATCCTGCCTGCTGTGTGATAGCTGCATGCTGCAGAGAGATAGAGGTAATGTGAAGAATCCGCCTTATGGACACGCCGGCCCTGCCTGGCTACAAATCTAAAGAGCACACTATAAAAGAGGATCCCATGGCACAAGTCATTGTCCCAATAGCGCGTTATTACTGTTGATTGTCCTTGGTTCTGACTTTGGCTACGTCTGACTATTCTACCTTCTGTACTCCTTTGACTCGGTTTCTGGCTTCCCTGACCTCGGCTTGTCCCTGTTTACTCTCTGTCCATGTGACGTTAGCCTGGCAACTCTGAGGTCTGGTACACGTTATTATTTTACTACACGCTGTGTTTTGGATCCCTATATATTCCTGACACAATCACTATAAGTTCCCATCTAAGCTACTTTTCATTTAATGTGTCCTACAGAATTTATAAAACCGGTTACAAAGAATTTGTTTTTTAAAAAGGACTGCTATTCATGAAACTACCTAGCACGATTTGAAAATCTGCGCTCCCTGGGTGGACATGTCTCCTCCAGTGGCGGATCCAGAGCCTGATCTCGGGAGGGGCACTTGTAGATTATTTAAAGAAATAATCAAGGCACAATAACCACTACAGCTCAGTATAGTAGTTATGGCGCCAGTAGTGCCAGGATCCCATCACAGAGTAAGTAGTCGAACCGTTTAAGAACAGTTTGACAACTTACCTGGGGTCTGCTGGGATATAGGGCATAGGAGCAGTGGTATGTGTTAGGGGTGAAGTGTGTGTTAAAGGTGCAGTGTGTGTGTGTGTGTGTGTGTGTGTGTAAGCGGTGAAGTGTGTGTGTGAGTGCGTGAGGGCGGCAGTGTAGATCAGGGTTGCAGTGTGTGTGTTAGGGGGTAGTGTATGTGTGGGGCAGTGTGTGTGTGAGCGCGGTGCAGTGTGTATGTGAGGGTGGCAGTGTGTGTATGTTTGGGGCAGTGTGTGTTTGTGGGGTAGTGTGTGTATGGGGGCAGTGTTTGTGGGGCAGTGTGTGTAGTGTGTGTATGGGGGCAGTGTGTGTGGGGCAGTGCGTGTGGTGTGCAGTGTGTGTATGGGGGGGAAGGAGGGTAGGGAGGCTTTTTTTATTGTATTTAATTTAAATAAATATATTGATGTCCCCCCTCCATTCTTACCTTTACTGGGAGGAGGGGGGACATATTTCGATCCCTGGTGGTCCGTTGGGGATTCCCTGGTGGCCCAGTGGGCTAGAGTTCACTCTCGCGAGATTTGGAGCGTTGCCGCGGTTGCTCCATGCTCACGAGAGGAGGACCCGGAGGAGCTGCAGGTAAGAGCTCCCGGGTCCTCTCTCTCTCTCCTCTGCAGGCTGTCAGCACGGTGCCTGCGGTCCGGGGAGGGAGATCTTTGATCTCCCCTCCGGTCCTTGAAAGCCCATTGCAGGGCTGGCACTTGGACAATGCCAGCCCTGCATTAGCTGGCAGGGGAGAATCTCGGGGGGGTGGGGGGGGGCAATTGCCCCAATCCCCCCCCCCCCGGATCCAACACTGATCTCCTCAAGGCCTGTATTAGGGCCTCCTCCTTCTTTAGCCTTTCAGGCAATTTTGCCGGCTGTATTTTTTTACTGTATTACGCTATGTTATGTCTATTATTATTATTATTATTATTATTATTATCATTATTATAGATCTGCCAAGGATTCGTTTATCCTGGATTATATTTTCCAGGTTGTTTTAAGATTATTTTACGTTTACTGGGTGTCTTTTCCCACTTCTCTTTATAACTATTGTCTGTTAGGTGTTTGTGAGGTACACCTGGGAACACTCTGAGTTTACGTATATTACTCTGGTCTTTATTGTGTATACTCCCTTTTTTTCACTAATAGCTAGCTGTCAATTTCTGTCATATCGAATTTATTACACGACCACTAATATATATGCTCATCAGCATGAGGTTGGTTACTGGTTTGCTTATTGACGCCTCATGTTGATGAGTTGCATTAACAACGAAACAGCTGTCCATGAGTGGTTCACTGGTTTTGCATCTTTTCCTAAGTTGTGTTTCAAGCTGTTATATACAGCAAACACAGACTAAAAGGAATCCATGTTTAAAATGGAATGAGGCAAAAATTTGATTCTTTGTTAAACTAATTTGCATATGCCCACCCAGAATCCTTTGCGGTTGTAACATCACTTCAGTTTTGTGATTTCTGTGGGAAAAGCAAGTCTTATGGCTTGACTGGTGTGCAGATTTTTGTTTAACATTGTATTAACTATCCACATACTTCAGGTGGAAGGAGTTTTCAATCACAATTTTCCCCCACCATTTTTTTATATATATATATATATATGCCAAATTAGCCCAGTAATGCAGATGTAAACTAACAGATGAAAATATTATATGATTTACCAATTCAAATAATATTTGATGAAATCCCAGTCTCTCCTCTCCAAGACATGTCTCTACTACTCTACATAAGCAGGTTCGTTGAACACATGGGTCACATACATGATCAGTTTTTAGTACTAATATCTATCAACTTTTGCCATGGCAAAATTGACATCGCTGCGATAGGGCTGCGAGGCTTGGTTTCTGTGTACAGTAAAGCTGTACCTCGCATCTTTGCCATGATGCAAATGCTAATTTTGCCCTAATAAGAGGGTGGTCCTCGCTTATAAACCTATATGTTGTAGAGCAGCATCTTATTGTACAAATGCGCAGCTAAAACATTTTTCGGCATCCGGGTTGCAAAATTTGAATGCGCTTTAGATTCGAAGGCAGATTAGATTTAAGTAAATATGTTATATGTGTATGAATGATCTATGTATACGTCCAAATCTGTCTGAATGGATGTATATATACAAAATGGCAAAATTAATTTAGAGAAGCGTCTGGTGCAACAACCCCACCCAGTGCAAAGGTTGCCAAAAGGTAGATCTCCATCTGTTGTCAGCTCCCACAATGCTATGCCACCTGGTAATCTACCAATTGCCCATACTTGCAAGGTTGTATTTGCGAGCAGTGTTTGTGTGTTTGAATTTTAGCATGTTACTCCCTCCCTGCAACGCAGATGTGAAATAGGCCCGGTCATGCTGTTAAAAGGCCGCCGCAGCCTACCGGACCTATGTTCAGTAATAACTTCAAAAATAGTGTAGTGCTTCAATAAATTATAATTTTTTTACAGTTCTTTAGTATGAGCATCAAAACAATCCCACTTTTAAAGTGCTTGTGTATGAGCAAATGGCTTTGTGTTATATAGAGTGCTCAGGGGCGTACCTAGAGCATTTGGCACCCGGGGCGGATCCTGGCCAGCGGCACCCCCTCCCAAAAAAAAAAAAAGAACCTGTAAAAAATGTTAAAGGTTTTATTTCTTTTATTTTTACAATTTGTAAACTTTGCAAAACCGCTGTCAGCCCCTCCTACAAAACCCTTGTCCTGCCCTGCCCCTCCTACAAAACCTCTGTCCTGCCCCTTTTACAAATCCTGTACTGCCCCATCTACAAAACCCCCGCAACCCCCTTCCACAAATCCCTGCTTATCCCCCCTTATAAAGACTCCTGTCCCAATACAAAACCCCCACCCCCTTCTACAAAATCCCTGCAGCCCTACACACACATTTACAGGCAGACAGTCACACGCTCAGTTACAGACAGACAGTCACACACTCAGTTACAGACAGACAGTCACACATACACATTTCCTCCGTGCGGCCAGTTTATCAGCTGTTTGCTTGAGTGAGCTGTACTGGCCGCACGGCACCCTAACTACCATGGGACACTGTTCGGCCACAGCTCACACAGCCCCCTCCAGCCAGGGCCGGTACAAGGATTTTTGCCGCCCAAGGCAAAAGTAAAGTTTGCCGCCCCCCATGTGACATCACAATGCCCCAGCCATATGATTTGCCATGTTAACTAACGCCAGTGCTGCAGTGCCGCCGTGTTTACATTAAAAGGCCTGCAGGGACGGGCTATAGACACCAGAACCACTACATTAAGCTGAAGTGGTTCTGGGGACTATAGTGTTTCTTTAATGTGAGGTAAATTAGAGCTTAGTGCCACGAATAATATACTAGATTGCCTACTTACAACCAGATGGGGATGATGATGGGCTCTAGCTGCAGTCACCAGCTCCACCTGATGTTCTGGTGCAAGAACAAAGAGCTCTCCTGGGCGGTTTGTAACTGGCAGTGCAAAATCAATGTTCACAGAGAGCGAGGCTTAGCTGCATTTTTTGGGGGTACACAGCTCAAAGGTCACAGGTCCCAGGGTCCACCTTCATGTGTTCCAC